TTGGGGGGAGGTGTGGGGGTGGAAAGGGCTGCCTCCTGTGGCCCCAGGAAGGGGTGCAGGTCTGCCTGCCTCAACCCAAAGGCTCCAGTCCCAACAGCATCTCCAGTGTTTGGTGGGTGTGTGAGGGCGGGAGTGGGGGTCGGGGAGCTCTAGTTGCTGAAAGTGCCGGAGCAGCAGGCAGAGGTTGGCTCAGTTCTCCTTGGTCCTCCCCCTCCCTTCCCCTCCCACCCATTTCTGGCTGCTGTGAGCCCCAGGCCCTGTGCTAGGGGAGGGGGAGGGGCCTGAAGGAACTTGGGGTCCCCTGCTGAGGCTGGGCTGGCACATGGCGCGGGGGTTTTTTGGGTGGGGGGTGGGGGGGAGACAGGGCACAGGTGCTGCTTGGCCTCTGGGTATGGGTGTCGGGAGGGCTTCCTGGAGGAGGAGGGGAGGCTGCTCCAGGCGAGTCCATCGCGCTGCCTGAGCCCCATGCTCTGTTCCAGATCTGGACAGGGACCCACAGAGCTGGTGCACTGCCGAGCCAGGTGGGTGTCGGTGCCGCCCAAGGAGCCTCGGAGTCCAGCGCCCGGGAGGCCATTGCCTTGCTTACCTACGAGCCGGCGGATCCCTGGCCGTTCGTGAGCCCAGAGGAGGAGGGCCCTGGCACTGGGCTCCCGGCAGAGGAGTTGCCTGCAGCCCTGGAGTGGGGAGGGCAGCTGCCTGCCTACCTGCCGCAGGAGGAGTGGGTGCCCGCGAGGCCCGCCAGGCCGGCGCCCCCCCAGTCAGAGGGCAGCAGCAGCGACTACTGTGCCCTGGGCTGCTACGGGGGCAGCCGCTCCCCACCTCTCCCAGGAAGCGTGCAGAGTTCTGGGCCCCTCTACGCCTCGGCCTGCGGACTGTCCTGTGACCAGCAGAGCCTGGCTGCCAGGCCAGGAGGTGGCTATGTGGGAGCTGGTCTCGGTCAGGATCCAGACCCCGGGAACAGGCTGCACGAGGCCCCCGGGCCTGTCCGTCTCCCATCCTCGGCACACAGTGGGCGCGGTCCTGAAAGTCCCCGAGCCCCGACTCGGCCAGCGGCATCGTGTCCACTTTGGGGAAAATGGACGGAAGCTTCTGGAGCGGACCCTTGGCTGGCACTGGACGGCCTGCAGAGGGGCCAGACGCCCGTCGGGATGGAGGCAGGAGGCCCCTCCTCCCTCCTCTCTACTGAGCGCCTGTGGGGCGGGGCCTCTGCACCCCGCATCCTGCCTCTGCTTTCTGGCTCCGTCCCAGGCTCCTCTGAGAAGAGGGCTGCTCTGCCCTCGCCCCTTAAAGGCCAGCCTGGGCCCGGTGGACACAGTGACCAGCCGGAGTGTCCTCTTTCTGTGCCTTCCTGAGGCATCTGAGATTAAAGGGCGGGTAGTAGCTGTCACACCGCTGCTGGGGGTAGCAGGGGGGGGCGGCCTGCTGGGGGTAGCAGGGGGGGAGGGGGGCGGCCCAGACAGGGGCAGGGTGGGGGCCTGGCCACTCCTGGGCTTTCTGGGCTCTTGGAATAGCACCAGCTCCAGCTGAGGCCAACCCTGCCCCTTCTGCCTCACCTATCACGGGCCCCGGAGGCCGAGAGCTGTGGCCCACGGCGGCTGGAAGTGAGCGCCCAGCAGTGGCCTGTGCAGGGCCCTGCCCCTAACCCCCACCTGTGGAGAGAGGGGGGCAGAGCAGAGGGCGCCTGCACAGCCTCCTGAGTGACATGACCGAGGGCCACACACTCCGTGGCTTGGAGAACAGACTTTTGTCTCCGGGGGACGCAGGGCCTCGAGGACACAGGGAAGGGCTCTCTCCAGCCACGGGCAGCACCTCGGCTTGGGCAGCCGGCTCTGATCCCCACAGGGGTTTCCTGTGGGTGTGTCTGTCCTAATCCCCCTTTTATAGCAACACAGTCACAGTGGATTAGGGCTGATCAGATGACTGCATCTTGGGTTGGTCATCCACGTGCACAGGTACTGGGGATTAGGACCCCAACATACGAATTTTGGGGGAACACAATTCAATCCGTAACAGTGCCCTGCAGTGACCTCCATGCCCTGGACCAGGCGCTGCGGTCCCTCCCAGGGCAGCCGGTCACTTCCTGCAACAGTGCCCTGCCTCTGCCAGCGACCTCCACGCGCTGGCCCAGCTGCTGTGGTCTCTCCCAGGGCAGCCGGTCACTTCCCGTGGCCTCAGGAAGGAGACCCTGTCCCCCTGGCTGCTGGGCTTGGGCTGGTGCTGGGACCATCTGCCGGATGAGGGCTGGGACGAGACTGTTCAGAGTTGGGTAGAGGTGCTGACGTCTTAGAAGCAGGATACAATGGAGGCCTGTCTCTGGTGCTGAGGGTCTCCCCAGGGTGCCCTGTGGCCTGGGCAGCAATGAAGACTACCGCCCAGGCCCCCCAGGGAAAAGGCCCCTCTGTGTGCCCGGGGCCCTGAGGTTTTGTGGGGAGCCTCAGCCCAGCCGGATCCTGGCCAGCAGGGACAAACAGGACCCCACATGATCTTCAGTGTCCAGAGAGTAGCAGGGGTGTGGACAGAAGTGAGGTGCAGGCACCCTCAGCTCTAACCAAGCACAAACGTACTATCGTGAATCCGCTTCCTGGAGCCGACCCCTGGGAGTCCAGGCTGGTGTATATAATGGCATCGGTGTGGCGCGTGCAGCTGCACGTGGGGCCTGGGCCGCCTGCATGGTTAGACTGGTGACCCCACAACAGGACCCTTTCCTGTGTGGCTGGGACGGTGCTCCAGGGAGCACTTGGGGACCTGCCTCTGGGCTGGAACCTGGGTGGGCGGCCACTTAGAGGCTGGATGAGGGATCGTCGGTGCGTCACGCCTGCCCCTTCAGTACATCACTCCTGTTTATGGCTGAATATCGGGTGGGGAAATAATAGGCTTACAGTTATTTGTATGGAAAGGAATACGATAATTAATAACTAATGATATAAGAATAAACTCTGTGTTTCGTGTACTCACAACTGCAAACCCGCCTTTGCCTCACCCTGTGATACCCATTGTAGGAACGCACCAAGTTTTCTTTATCGAATCGTCTGCTGATGGACATTCGGATTGTTTCCACCTCGTCGCTGCTGGGCACAGTGCTGGGGCTGCTGGTAAGACGCTAGGGTAATTCCTCGACAAGTGGAATTAGGGAAACTGAGGCAAAATAATGCAACAAGGCCAAGCAATCTGAGCAACTCACAGCAGCTAACGCACCCAGGGCTTTATCTTCCCTAAGCAAGGACACTCAGGGGCGGGTGGCTTGCACACTCCAGACCATCCTGGGACAGAGCAGCCTCCGTCCTGGTCCCTCTTCAGTGATATTCTTGATGATGTTCTTTAAAAACGAAACTAACCAGAAAGTAACCCCTGACCTCTGTGCACACATTTTGATGAACCAACATAATGAAGGACACACCTTAAAAGCTAACGAATACTGTTAAGACCCCCCTAGGATTCCCACTGGCCAAGGAAAGATAAAGACCTGAAACAAAGGACACAGGGGGCGGTCTTGCTAGAGCACCCACCCTGGTATCTGCTCTTTCTCTAAGGTCTCCCTGAGACCTGCAGCCGGGGGAGCCTCGGGCAGCGGCAGCTCATCCCAGCCTGGCCCCCTGAGCCTGTCTCCAGGGCCTCTTCTCTGACTCTCCCTGCTGCTTCTCTTATCTGAAGCCCTTCCTTTGTTTCACTGTCCCAGCTTTAATAAACATACTCTCAAAAATATCCTTGGGTGAGGATTAAAATAAATCAAAGACCCTATTTCTATAGAAGGCCACGTGCACAGGTACTGGGGATTAGGACCCCAACATACGAATTTTGGGGGAACACAATTCAATCCGTAACAGTGCCCTGCCTCTGCCAGCGACCTCCACGCCCTGGCCCAGGTGCTGTGGTCCCTCCTGGGACAGCCGGTCACTTCCCGCGGCCTCAGGAAGAAGACCCTGTCCCCTTAATGTGTGTGCCCTTAGATATCTATCATCTATCTATCTATCTATCTATCTATCTATCTATCTATCTATCTATCATCTATCTACCTATCTATTATCTATCTATCTATCTATCTATCTATCTATCTATCTATCATCTATCTATCTATCTATCTATTTATCTATCTATCTATCATCATACACCTGCACTCGTGTTGTGAAATCTGTCTGCACGAAATCAAGAACCCACATGCTGCCAGTGGGCCCGGGCAGTCCCTCTCCGGGCCCAGACCCCGTCTGGTCAGAGTGCTGCTGGAAGCAGTCATGTACAAGTTTCCGTGTGAATACCCGTTTTCCATTCTTTTGTGGAATTGCCGGAACATACAGTAATTCTATGTTTAGCTCTTTGAGGAACTGCCCAGCTGTTTTCCACAGTGGCTGCAACGTTTCCACTTGCATCATTTCCCCACACCCTCGCCCACTCCTGTGAGTGCCCGTGTTTCTGGTGGGAGCCAGTCTCATGTTGGGGAACCTCATTGTGTTTTGGATTGAATTTCCCTAATGGCTGGTGATGTTGAGCATCTTCTCATGGGCTATTTGTGTATTGTCTTTGAAGAAAATTCTATTCGAGTCCTTTGCCCATTTGAAAAACTTGGGTGGCCCGGCCGGTGTGGCTCAGTGGTTGAGTGCTGACCTATGAGCCAGGAGGTCAGGGTTTGATTCCCGGTCAGGGCCCGTGCCTGGGTTGTGGGCTCGATCCCTAGTGTGGCACCCAGGTGGCTCTCGTGTGACCTTCTCCTGGCTTCCAGGTGCCGCTGTCAGGCCAAGAGCTGAGGCCCAGCCAACCTCCGCACACCGTTCGTGGATTCCAGAGCAGGAACCCTGGGGCCTGGCTGAAGGGCATGGGTTCATCAGGACCTGTGTGCTCACGGTGGCGGCCGACCGCTGACGCTGTCCGCTAAGTCCCATCCAGCCTGCGGACAGGCAGCACCGGGGTGGCCGGCGGGTGCTATTGTTTGGCCACCACCCGACGTTCCCAGCACGGGGCTTAGGAAGCACAGAAGACAGAGAAGCAGGGCTTACGGAACACAGAAAATGGAGAAGCAGGGCATGCAGGGGGAGGGGACGCCGGGCACCAGCCATGTGAGAGGAAACACTAGCTGCTTACAACCGGGCTCACATCTAGAAGCAGTTTCTTGTTCTTAGACCAAGTTGCTGGCCAGGGTCCCAAGGCCTCACGGTCTTATAGGCCTTCCCTGTGTTCCCACAGGGCGAGAGGGGGAGTGGGAGCATGGGAAGGGCCCATGTTCCCGTTTACCGACCAGACAGACCCCTATGTTGTCCTCACCATGCCTCTCATGTGGCCACCCTCTGACCCTCATGTACCCCCCACAAGTCCCCATGTAATTTTTATGAACCCCCATGTAGCCTAACCTACACACACACACACACACACACACACACACACACAGGCCATCGGGGGACCACATGGAGTGCATGTGGGAGATTTGCAGGTAGCCTAGCATAGACTTTTTGTCTATCTATCTATCTATCATCTATCTATCTATTTTCTATCTATCAGTATCTATCTATCTATCTATCTATCTATCTATCTATCTATCTATCTACTCTTAGAGAGAGGAAGGGAGGGAGGTGGAGAGCAATTGATGTGATCTATCTACTCTTAGAGAGAGGAAGGGAGGGAGGGAGAGAGAAACATTGATGTGAGAGAGAACATCGGACGGTTGCCTCCCAAATTTGCCCTGACCTGGGATCAAACCTGCAACTTTTTGGTGTATAGGATGATGCTCCAACCAACTGAGCCCCCCGGCCAGGGCTGGGCTAACTTCTACATAGATTTCTTACCTTTGCTTAGACTGACCTGTGCACCCACGTAGGCACCCAGTTGTTACAGGGTGCGCTGACCGCATCTGTGGCTTGCTGACTTGACAGAGGAGTTGAGACTCAGTTGGTTACACTTTCTTACAGACCTTTGCCATCCCTGACATTGCCAATTGCCAGGCACATCTTCTCAGGGATTCACTGGGGCTGATGGGCAGAACTCGGGGCTAACCTGGCTCAGACCGCCGGGGGCCGGCTGCCGCAGCCTGGAGGCCCCTCCACTGACCACCTCACGAACTTTCCTGGTTATCCCGCATCACACACCAACATCTCCTCCCGGGCCGAGTTCCCGCCGTTCCCGAGCAGGTGATGTGTGTGCAGGCATGTTTGCTCGCTGCGCAGGTGGGGGTGGCCCACCTCTACGTGTGAGGAGGAAGCTCACCGCGATGTTTACGCACGGTTTCCCTGAGGGAGGATGGCCCAACCTTTGTTCGGGACGCGCTGCTCTGGGAGCGACCCCCGTGTGTTGTGAGCTGCCAAGCAATGAAGTTCCTTCTCATGAAGTCATCTTGGAGTCGTCTTTGGATGTAACTGCTGACTCATTA